TACTAGGTTCTGGTACTCCCCTTGTCATTTAGTACCAGGTGCCGGTACTCCCCTTGTTATTTAGTACCAGGTGCCGGTACTCCCCTTGTTATTCAGTACCAGGTGCCGGTACTCCCCTTGTTATTCACTTCTAGGTGCCGGTACTCCCCTTGTTATTCAGTACCAGGTATCGGTACTCCCCTTGTTATTCAGTACTGTACCATTCATTACCCACTTCAAGCACTGCGAAGAATGGTGGTTACCAAGTCATTTTTCAGTGGTGTCCGCTGTAAAAAGTCGATAACTTGATTGGTCGATATGCTTTTATCAGTGCCAGTTCTCCTCTGTGTTTGAGTGTGCAGGTGACTTTTTATTTGGGGTTTGAATTCATTCTGTAAGGTGTGCTGAAGTTTAAGGACCTACTTAATAAACTGTCAGCCCTGGAAGAACAGTCTCTGTGTGTACTTCAGCATTTCAAAAGCAATCCTGTACTAAGGATCTATGGGGGTGTCACATTTTCATTGTAACTATACATGAGCAAATTTGTTAGAGCTTGGTGGTTGGATGATTGTGGTGCTTAAGTTATATTTAACTTCCAGTTAAAAAAGATTCCCACCCCTTGAGAAACATGGACAAATTAAGTATTTAGACAGACACTCTTAAAAACATCATGTGTTTGTAACACTGAACTCTCAATTGTAGATGTCCTTTGGGCTCACATTTGAGAGGATTCACCAGTTTACAAACGATAGAGAAAGCTCTCAAAAGTTTGTAACACATTAGACAAAAGTGACAATTTCCATAGAAAAATGCATAATTTTACTTAATATTGATTGTTAATCTCTGGATAAATAATTACCTAATACTTTTTTTGGCACTATACGGTAATTATATTATAACTGTTTCTTTGCGCATATAGAGAACTGCATATGCTTCATATTAGAATTTACACACAGCACAACACAACGTGTCCTCTGCATTTAACCCACATGTGACATAGCAGGGGGCAGCTAATTCAGCGCCCGGGGAGCAGTGCTTTGCTTAAGATACCTCAGTGGTACCTGGCTGGTCGGAGATTCAAACCAGCAATCTTTCAATTACAGGTGCGCTTCCCGAACCATTAAGACACCACTGCCCATATTGCTGCATATGTTCTCTGGAGCAAAAGGTTATTTTCGTAAAGCAAACGCGCTGAATCCTAATCATTAGTGTCAGTGCAAATAAGAACACAAACACCTTACCCTAAGACACCCTCGCCTGTTTAGAACGCGCGTCTCTAATCCCGCTTATTACTGCTGAGGCAAGTAATGGAGGGGGGCGGTGGCTAAAGAAGGTGTCGTTCTATGTCGCAGGTGCCGCGCGCTCCGAGCGACGTCTCTTCTCTTGATGTTCAGCTACCTTTTTGGTAGATTTTAATTCAACATGCTACTTCTTTAATTGATTTCACCTTTAATTGGTAAGCATGTAGTCCAGGTTTAAGACTATACAACAGTATAATTATATAGTATATATTTCACTTTTCTTTTTCCATAAACAGAACAAATTTCGGATATTGCTGTTCTCTGTTGATAAAACAATACTGAAACAATGGCGGGTGAATGACATACGGCGCAAAGTTGAATCTATACAGATTAAGGACATGAACGTCGAAGGCAAAAGTAAGTATTTGTATCTTTGTCCTCATGCAATTTTTTTATATTTCCATAAAAACAATGTTATCTTGGTCCTACTTATTGCTCACTGTAATGTTCATTTAAAAATAGCTCAAAAAAGCAAAAATGTTTAGCTAAACCATTTACTCTAAACCTAAAACAGCCACTTAAATATAACAATTAGATTGTGTAATTATTACTAACCAGCTTTAACCAATATTGTTGGTATAACATACATTCTTGTTTATAGACTAGGTAGATATGTTCCAGGTTCTCTGTGCATTGCTCTGTGCAGTTTAGAAGTAGTTGTTTTCAGATTATCCACATTGTAGCAAAAGGCAGCTGTCAAAGTTTAGCTGAGAACCAGAGTTCACAGTACTTCCAGTTATTGATGTTACTCTACAAAACAAGTGCAAAGTGTTAGGTCTTCGGGGGATGGGTGACCCCAGGGATGCTAACTAATCAGTTTCGCTGTCTCCTAGCCTGGTCTTCTTAAGCAAAGAAGTAGGTCACACCTGTCCACTACAACATGACACTGTTAACCTGCCTTCCCTGCCCCCTCGTACTGAACTTTATAATTATTTCACTTTTTTATTTGTCATTTGCTGTCATTTACTTTTACTTTTTGCTTTTACTATTGGCTTGGCCGTCAATGTATGCGCCATTTCCACCGTAAGTCTACTGCAGCAATGTATTGCTTAAAATAGACAATAATCAAAGATGCCAATTTGATGAAAGTAGAGGCAATCTATACAGTGTATTTGGTTTTTATGGACAGGTAAGATAAATTATGCACAATGTTAGACTAGATAAGTGGGTGGAAGATGGACGGATGAGACCGATTCTGGTTAAAGTGAGCAAACAATATTGATGGATGTGTTATGGTGAAAGGAAACTTTGTATCTATAACAGTTTTACTACAAGCAAAATAGTTCACATTTGATATTATTATCAATACAGCCGTAAACATAAGGTGTATTTTTTTTTCAATGGCCAACTGCAGTTCATGTTCCATGTGAATACCGTATCCGTATTGGGCACTACACTGGGTGAATTAATGTGTTATAAACAGTGGGAAACTGTGTGGAGAGCTGTTCTTTTACATAACATATTCACACATAGATGTGGAACATGGTCATAAGTGAGTAAAACTGTGAACACGGCAACACAGTGCAACAACTGGGTAGCATTTTCCAGATGCTTCCTTTGGGTGGTGATTTGGGGTTGGGGAACTGAGATGCCAGACAGAACCCCCGCCCCACGGCCCCAGGCCCCCCTCTGTCTGCATATCTGACATCTATGTGAAACATTTGTGTAGATTAAAGTGGTGATGCCTTGCAGATTATATGTGCTCATGACGTACTACTTGTATATTTCCATATATTTTCTGGAACCGCTTATCCTATTCAAGGTCATGGGGGTCTGGAGCCTATGGGCACAAGGCAGGGACAAACCCCAGATGGGGTGCCAATCTATCGCAGGGGACACTCATACATGCACACCTACGGGCAGTTTGGCAACTTCAATTAACCTCAGTATATCTTTGGACTGTGGGCGGAAACCGGAGTACCCAGAGGAAACCCCACGATGACACGGGGAGAACATGTAACTCCACACACATGGAACCCTGGCGGAGACTCAAACCCTGGTCCCAGAAGTGTGACGCTTATCACCGTGCCACCATGCCATCCCACTCTCATTTTTATCTATACAATCTAATTATGGTGGGAGTCATAACAGAAAAATATTTGGTACAATACTTAAGGCAATTTTGAAATGTAATAGTTTGTAATGTTTTGTAGTCGAACTATGTTGTCGAGGCGTGTATTTAACGAAAAAAGCGCATTTGTGGAATTTGCTAACTGCTGCAGTGCATGATGGGTATGATATTTGTAGGCTACTTAAATTTCATCACCTGCAACTGCTGCAATTTGTGTAGGGAGGCCCTAGGTGTTAATTTGGAAAGGGGGGGGCATGGTCCATTTTTGCCCCACTGAACTGAGATGAAACCAGAGGCGGCAGTGGATCTGTTCAGCTTGTACAAAAGGTCGTTCGACACTGCTCTCTTTGTGGCCTAGCAAGCAGTGTTGAGCTAGGAGGGGCTCCCTGGCAGACAGCCATTGAGATGAACGGCGGGATTCCCCGGTCAGACACCCTCAACTCGACCAGCTCCACCTCCACCCAACGCAAGAAGCGGGAGCACGCCAAGAAGCCGGTGCAATGCACCACCACGGTGATCCGAGCCCCGCGGGTGCTCTTCTGCCTCCGGCTCGGGAACCCCATCCGCATGGCAGCCATCGCCATTGTGGAGTGGAAGTATCCCCCCCCGTCGCTCCATCCCCAGGCTGCCACACACGTTCAGGCTTCCACTGCTTCTCCCATTCTTCAGATTAGTGAAGCCTTCTTCAGCGCTGAGACGGCCCAGCCAATAGCAGTGATATTATATTTAGATATGTGGGTATGTTACTACGGATTACTAATGTAACTAACTTGGGTTCAGTAGATTTTTCAGGTTTATTTATGAGTTTGCCCATTTTCACTAGCACCCATCTATGTCTGAATCAGAACCAAACGGTCCTCCTTTAAAGGGGAGTTCTAGCCAAAAGCGTTAATAGGCTCTTTCTGCTCAGGACCAACCCCCATTTTCCATCTAAATGATCTAGAAGATATAATGCAGATGTTGCTGCTACATTAGCAGGGTGATTGAAGGACACCCCCTCACTGTAATGCTGGGGGCCTTGCTTTAATTTATTACACACTACCTTGCAAGGGCATTTTGTTTTTGTGTGGAATGTTCTGGGCCTTAACTTAATCTCCTCAGACCATTTGATATATTCATTCTGCTGGCCATCTTCGCCAACTGTGTGGCTCTCGGGGTCGCCAAGCCTTTCCCAGAGGACGACTCCAACCCCACAAACCATGCCCTGGTGAGTGACACATGGGGTGTACAATCAGAAGTGCTGAAGTGGCCCATCAGGTGACACGAGGCTTCTGAGAGAGGTCACATGACTCCTGCACAGTACCAATCCAAGCCTTGCTGGCAAGTCAGCTGTCAGTGTTCTGTGCAGGAAGAACTGATTTCGCAGCCTTGTGTGTTTAAATATGGAGGCTTATACTTGTCACTTACTGTTGTTAAAATGTTACTGTTTGAAATAGGGGTGATTTGTAATATTAATGCATTACGTTTTGATATTTTGTTATATTACACATATTTAGGTAATTTATAACAAATATATAAATAAATACCCGTAGTAATGATAATAGCTGTAAAATGTGGCAAAGATGATGTCATGTAGGTTTTACCCTGGGATTTAACTTTATTCCAATAGTATGTGTTCTTGTGTGGACCCTTCTGTGGCCAGTGAGTGACCTGTAAAAGCCCTTTATTGGATTATAAGGTAGTGAAATGTGGTGTCGGGGATAGGGACAGTAAGACCAAATGACCCCCTGGGAGGATTACTGGTTCACATTTACAGATTATAAGATACTGGGTTTCCAGTGACCACAGAAACCAAAGTTTAAGGTCCCTACTCCGGAAGAATATTTCTTTCAGTGGTCATTTACATTGGCTCATCAACCACTGGAATAAAACAGCCAGTAACTGTAATGTGCTCGTTCTCAGCGCATTTTTAAATACTGTTTTCTGCCTTGTCTAATATAGACATCACTTCTGATGAAAGTGTGCTTTAATTGTACAGTAAAGTGTCCCTTAATTTAGACTGGAGGTGAAAGACAAGTCTCATGCAGGCATCGATCTTGTGGACTTCTGCTCCTTAGCGTAGTGCTACTCTTACCCCAGGGTTAAAACCTGTCAACAGAGCATTAGTGGGTTACGGGCAATGGGTTAAAAGGTCAGCAATGTCATTAGGGCTGATTCATGGTCACTGGACAAATCATCATAAGTCAAATCAGTTGTTTGGTCTGTCTAGAACCAATATCTTAACTTCCTTGTACCCTTTGATTCTTGGGATAAACTGCAGGTCCATTGTGAGTCAGTACTCCTTGGTATTATCGTGAATCATTATATTATAGTGCTTATAGAAGATGGACGGATGGTGTCAGCTATGTGGTCATCATATCCGATTTTGTTTTGGTAGGAGCGAGTGGAGTATGTGTTCATGGTTATCTTCACCATTGAGACCTTCCTGAAAATCCTGGCATATGGCTTGATTCTGCACCCCAACGCCTACATTCGCAGTGGCTGGAACTTGCTGGACTTCGTCATTGTCATCGTCGGGTTTGTCCATCCTCTCCTCTCCTGCCTCCTGACTTTTTCTTGTGCCACGTCATCATTCTTTATCAATACTTCTTGTCCCTTTTTACCTTTTCAGGGTTATAGTGTCAGGGTAGTGAAAACTATTTAGCTTCCCTCAGGTACTGTTTAAACTGGGTAGTGGAGGGGTTAAATAGCTAGGCCATGGTTGGGCATATGTGACCCCTATGTGACGACTGATTGTGGCGTAATCATACCTCAGCCTGTTCAGCATGGTACTGGAGGGGACATCCAACAAGTCTGGGGAGTCCCACCACACAGGAGGAAAGCCTGGTGGACTGGATGTGAAAGCTTTGAGGGCGTTCAGGGTACTGAGGCCACTGCGGCTGGTCTCGGGAGTGCCCAGTGAGTCTTTCCACTTTGCTGCTTCACTGCTGGCACTAGCCAGCTAGCGTACAACCTCATGTAGCCTTGGATATTAGCCACTGCTGGCTGCGGAAATAGGAAATCTGACTAGAACTCTGGGTCACTCATCTTACTCTGGCGCTTCCCCAGGTCTTCAGATTGTGCTGAACTCCATCATGAAAGCCATGGTCCCACTGCTGCACATCTCCTTGCTGGTCCTCTTTGTCATCATCATCTACGCTATCATCGGCTTGGAACTCTTCATCGGCAGGATGCACAAGACGTGTTTTTACAAAGGCGCAGGTATGTAAACCACGTCCCCAAGCCAATTACTCCTAAGATCTTCCCAATGGCTACCGTTTGTACTCACCCCCAAACTTACTCAAGGATTATTGTGTCAATGGGACACTATCATAATAGGGCCTCTAAAAACATACATCAGAAGTAAGGTCACTTTCTGTGGATATCATGAAGAATGGTCCTGGAGAACTGTTATCCTGTTTGTTCTAGACCTCATTGTTGACGATGAACCAGTGCCCTGCGCATTTGCGGGATACGGCCGTCAGTGTGAAAAGAACGGGACGGAGTGTAGGGGCAAATGGGAGGGCCCCAATGGAGGGATCACCAACTTTGACAACTTCTTCTTTGCCATGCTGACGGTCTTCCAGTGTGTCACCATGGAGGGCTGGACCGATGTGCTCTACTGGGTAACACCTGGCCTTTCTTAAAGCTCTGCGGGTTTCGCTACAGTCCAGGGTTCAATCTAAAGTTTAGTGTTGACTTTAGCAGAGGTGGAGAATTCAGGTTCAGAGAGTACAAATCCAGACTAAGATTTTGTTTCAACCAACCAGTTGAGTACTCTGTAACTGTGCCTCTTTATACTCAACTGGTTGGTTGAAAGAAAATCTTGGTCTGGATTTGTACTCTGGACCTGAAATCTCCATCTCTGCACTATACCTATACTACAACAGGGGGTCACGGTATTTCAGTAGAAATCTCCAATGAGGAATACATGTAACATTTTTTTTCAGCACCAAGATTGTTAGTAGAGGGCAAGGAAGTGAGAAATGTCAACCACTCCCCAGGAGCAGAAGTGAAGAGCCATATATTGAATGAAAGCTGAGATGATCCTGCTTTTCTCTCACCCTACTTTTGCAGATGAATGATGCCATCGGGTATGAGCTGCCCTGGATATACTTTGTCAGCCTGGTCCTCTTCGGCTCCTTCTTTGTCCTCAACCTCGTTTTGGGTGTGTTGAGCGGGTAAGAATGGCTTACGCTTACTTGAGGCACGTGGGTACCTTTGCCACGCGTTTGGGTGATGGCAACCTCTCTCCACATGCAGGGAGTTCTCCAAGGAAAGAGAGAAAGCGGTGGCACGGGGAGACCTGCAGAGGGCCAATGCGAGGCAGCAGATGGAGGAGGACATGCTTGGGTATATGGACTGGCTGGAGCAGGCCGAAGACATTGATGAAGATGATGAAGAAGCCAAGAAAAGTATGTGAGATCCTTTGGCAGAGATAGAAGGGAGTACTAAGTACATGACTGAATGTACCATAAAATCCCCTGGATGCACAATGCTCCTTTGTTGCCTGAAGATGCTTTGCTTTACAGATGCATTTCAAATGTGTTCTTGTTGTTGCTTTTGTTTAAGAACCACTTTATTTCCTTTTATCAAGAACAACGGCGGAGGAGACGTGTTTTTCTACGTCAGATTGGCGGTATAGAGCAAGGTATCACTTTCTGCTGGGGCTATGTTCTCAGTGTCTACCTTCATATCTTGGTATCGGTCATTCAGTTAAATGTGAACTATCTAAACGATCTTCAGAAACCCCACTAAACCTACTGTTGACTAGTCGGTCTGAGGATTTACCCATTGCTGTGTCTGTGACTGGTTATATGGAACTTTCCCATGTCTGTCTCCCCCAGACAGTGACTCGGACTCGGAGGACTTTGAGAACATTGACCTTGACGACGATGGTTGTTGTGCCTCCTGCTGGTAACTAACTACCTGTTTCTACAATATAGAATTAGCACTTCTACCAGTACTACCAGCATCTGTGAGGCTCTGACCTCTGACCTTTGGACTAAAGAACTGAACATTTGGCTGGTGCACTGGAAATGTGTTTCAGTGTAATATTGTTCTTGTACGTTTCTCATTGTTTTCCTCAGTGCCCGACTGATGGCCAATCCTCTTTGGTGAGTAGGTGAAATGCTTTAAATGCACTCAAGATTAAATCTCAGTTTTACTGAATGTTTACTGAATACAGACATTTTTTTAAAAGATAGCATATGGTGTTCAGTCATATTGAGTCTCAGCTTGGCATTGAAGGGGGAGGTCCACGTAGACAGCAACATTTTGCTAAATGCAGACACTCCTATGACAACCAAAGAAACCAAATCCACAACCACAAGTCAACACTTTTAACAAACTTTTGATCTCATCTTGTTTTCCTGTATTTTTGTCAGTGACGAGCTCTGCAAATGGAACCACTCATTTCGCAAGAAATGCAGATCTGCAGTCAAGTCTGTCACGTTCTACTGGGTTGTGCTTCTGCTGGTCTTCTTAAACACAGCAGCCAGCGCATCTGAGCACTACAATCAGCCCGAGTGGCTTACTGGGGTTCAGGGTGGGTGGATGTTTATTCTATGTACAGTACCAGTCAAAAGTTTGGACACACCCACCCACTGAAAGGTGTATTTGTACCATTATCTACATTTTAGAATAATTATAAAGATTCAAGAGGGATTTATTGTCAATACAGCAATATACATGGTATACCGTGCATCGAAATGCCATTTCACCCAGCCCTCCCCATGGTGCGTAGAATATAAAATATAGAAAAATACAAGCAGAGATTACACACTTAAGTACCTTGAGAGCTATAAAAATTTCTGTACACAAAATTAAATACCTATAAAAACTATCAAAATCTCTGTACATTAAACAGGCACAGCAGGAGGACATAAGACGTTTCAAAAGTGACTGTGCATTATAGTTTCCAGGATATTGTATAGACAAAACAGACAGGACAAGACAAGACCATGTGCAAAAATGTCAGATGTACAGAGTAAGCATGAGCAACTTTAGCAGGAGGATAAAATAATATACATGGAATTATGCACTGAAGAACTGTGAAACAAAAAATATCATTTGTTGGGGGCACAGCTCTGTGGGTTGGGACTCAGAAGGTTGCCAGTTCAAATCCCGTGGTCAGCCCAGTGGTGCCACACTTGGGCATTTGAGCAAGGCCCTTAACCCCAATTGCTGCACAGGTTGGCTGACCCTTCATGAGGTGGCGTGCTGGATGCTTTTCCAGCTGTTCTGAAGGAGGTCCCAAATATATGCTGAGCACTTTTTGGCCACTTTTCCTTCACTCTCTAGTCACACTCCTTGAAACCCATCTCTACTGGGTTTAGGTCAGGTTGCCAGGTCATGTGATGCAACACTATCACTCTCCTTTGTAGGCAGCTTGGCATGGCCAAACTTTTAACTGGTATGATACCTTAGGAGCTTCTGTTGACTGTGTTCTTAGGTCACCACCTTCACCTTATCATGTGTCCTCCATGTCTTTCACACCTTTCATATCTAACCAGCTTATCTCAGCCTTCCAGGTCTCACTATCTTCTTCCCTCTTCCAGAAACTGCCAATCGGGTGTTATTAACACTTTTCACCCTGGAGATGTTGCTGAAGATGTACAGCTTGGGGCTGCAGCTCTACTTCCTAGCTTTCTTCAACCGATTTGACTGTTTCGTTGTGTGTGGTGGCATTGTGGAGACTATCTTGGTGGAGATGAGCATCATGCCCCCACTGGGTATTGCTGTGCTGCGATGTGTCAGGTTGCTGAGAATCTTCAAGGTTACACGGTAATGCATGACCAGAAAGCCATTTTTGGTCTTCATGAGCTGAGATCAGTACAGGACAGTAGTTCTCAATGTTGATCTGCTCCCCCTCCCAGAATGTTTTCATTACAACCCTACCTTAATCAGGCGTATATGGCCCTTAATAAGTAATAATGAATGTGGCAGATTGAAAGCAGTGTGGGTTGCAATTGGCCTGGGGGGGGTGCCAGGAACAGGATTGAGTAGTGATGTCCAAAGGAAGCTTCATGAACCATTTGCAGTATTTCTGACTCCACTAGATGGAGCTCTTTATTTAAAAAAGGGCTCAAGATATGGCCCATTGCAATCCAAGAGCAAGGATCGAGAACTAGTCAATAAGTCAGGGAGGACACTTTGAGCTAGAACATGATTTGTAAACTACTATTTCAATTAAAAGGACCCAGACTTCACTTAAGTATTGAGTTCTTGCTGTGTGCTGATTGGTCAGTCTTTTATAATCATGCATGTGTCATTAATGTTAATGTGAAACGGCTGGATGAGTCTTTCAATCAAGGAAATAAAACAGTCAAAGCACAAGTCAAACTGAACTAATTAGCCGAGCACAGGAGCCCTTTAGTTTTAATTTAAAGTAGCTTGTAAAACCTGAAGTAGCTCAAAGTGTCCTCCCTGAAATGGATTATCTAGTCACCCTAGATCAGGGGTCTCAAACTCCAGTCCTTGAGGGCCGGAGCCCTACACAGTTTTTGGTTCACCTTCATTTAACACACTTGATTCAACTCCTTGTGCTTATTACCAGACAGCTCTTGAGCGGAATCATTTGTGATGGAAGGGGGAATGAACTAAGCTACACAGGGCTCCGGCCCCCCAGGACTGCAGTTTGAGACCCCTGCCCTAGATCAATACACTGGAGGATGGTTGTTACTGGTTGCCAAGGACAGCATGTTAAGATTAGGTACAGGAATGTCCTCACATTGGTGTCTGTTTGCCATTCTCTCAGCCACTGGAATGCCCTGTCCAACCTGGTGGCTTCCTTGATCAATTCCATGAAGGCCATCGCTTCCCTGCTCCTCCTCCTCTTTCTCTATCTGACCATCTTCGCTCTGCTGGGGATGCAGCTTTTTGGGGGAAAGTTCAACTTTGATGAGACGCAGACCAAGCGGAGTACTTTCGACAGCTTTCCTGCTGCTTTGCTCACCTGTTTCCAGGTGGGGGGGGGGGGAGGTGTTACTGCTCCTAATCCTTCCCCTACTTCCTGCTCTGCTCCACCATTTAGTTTCTTTTACATACCTTCTTCGTTTGTCATGCTCTATTTTTTCCATGGAACAACAATCATTTTATGTTGTAAACGAACTAAAATTAGTCTTTCTTTAAAGAAAACACAGCAACACTTTCTATGAATGCCATGGCTATAAGAATATACGACCACATTCGTAACACATTATGATGCATTCATAGAGCATTACAAAACATGGCTATAAGTATTTATAAAAAGGCATAACACATTATACCCATGTGTATTATGCATTATGAATGATTTTTGAAGCTCTCTTTTATAATGCACTATAGATGCCTTCATAATGCATCCTTTGTTCTTATACCAACCGTTATAATACATTATGCATTATGCATTATAATTTAGTGCATTAAGCTTCAAGCAAAAATGTTACAGAAAACACTGGTCAATCTGAATACTGATTTTACCAGTAAATTGATATCAGTGGTTTGATATTTTATGAATGTCTTAAATTGTATGTCATAGCTCTCTCTCTCTGTCTCTCTCTCTCTCTCTGTCTCTCTCTCTGCCTGTCTCTCTGCCTGTCTCTCTGCCTGTCTGTCTCTCTCTGTCTCTGCCTGTCTCTCTCTCTCTGTCTCTCTGTCTCTGTCTCTGCCTGTCTCTCTCTCTCTCTCTCTGTCTGTCATATGACCTGCCATCCTATTCCCTTACTATTCTCATCCCTCATCATCCCTCTGCTTGCCTGCAGATCCTGACAGGTGAGGACTGGAACTCGGTCATGTACGATGGCATCATGGCTTATGGTGGCCCAAACTTCCCTGGCATGATTGTCTGCATATACTTTGTGATCCTCTTTGTCTGTGGAAACTGTATCCTCTCAGCCAATGTGGTGTTGTGTTAATCCTGTGCACCATGTTGGTACGTAACAGTCAGAAGAGATATATATCGACTACGATCATAGCTGAAGAGGGATTGTAGCCATTAGCTGCATGCTTAACTGATTTCGCCTATATGCAGATAATAGTGTTGAAAGTCACAGAAAAGACTCCGCTGTTAGGCAAAAACCTAGCCATCTGTATTCAGTGTTGGGTATTCCAGGTCCAGAGAGTACAAATCCGGACCAAGATTTTGGTTCTACCAGCCATGTGAGTACTCTGTGACTGTGACTATTTATGCTCAGCTGGTTGGTTGAAACAAAATGTTGGTCTGGATTTGGAGCTTCTGGATCTGAAATGCCCAACACTATCTGTATTAAGTGATATGTTACATTGGAAAAAATGTCAGATAAACAACCCAATTAAAACTGTGCACATGTTTCTCACTGTATGCATATGGAGAAGACTCAGCAGTTTGCTCTCTTGCCCTGCATGGTCCTTAACTCGCACAGATATCCTGCTGAATGTCTTTCTTGCCATCGCTGTGGATAACCTGGCCACTGGAGAAAAGGAGGGCAAAAAGGAGTAAGATGGGGGTGACAGACTAATCTTATAAGAGGGTTGGATTCAGGCAAAGCAGTGAGATAGAGATGTCTGAGAAAGGTAGAAGACCTGTCATAAAAGGGGGCAACTCGGGAAAAGTAATTTGCAGTTAACGTGAAAACTAGAGGCATTTTTACTGACTGAGCTGTTGTGCAGGGAAAAAAAAGTGGAGGAAGAGGAGGAAGATGAGGAAGACGAAGCAGAAAAGGTACGGTTATCGGAATTGTTCCACGGTTAGTAAGGGGACTTTGGACACGTGACCTTCACTGTGTGACCCAGCAGATGCCAGTAATTCAGCCCTGGTGTCTTTATTGGGTATTTTGAAGAATCTCAACTCAGTGTTGATAACTGTATATTCCGCATAGATTGAGAATGAAGAGGATGAGGAGCAGTTGGAAGGAGAAGGGCCTGGTGAGCGAATCCTCCAGAGACAGCAGACAGAAGTCTTAAGGTTCTGCCAAGCACATTTACGGAGCCTCCGGGCTCGAGTCTCGCCACCGCAGTCTGACCCACCAAGCATGCCTGACTTAACATAAGACCAAAATCCCACCTATAACTTCAGTTCTAACAGCAACAGGGGGAGGGACAAAGTTCTCATATCTGGGGAGCAACTAGTTGGTTTTGGACCCAGTGTTTTTCTCCTCATAAGTACCACGGCAGGTTTTGGTTCCTCTCCTCTGTTTTCTCCTCAGGTTTTCCTCCTGAGACGTTGTTATTGTCATTATGTGACTTGGTTCCTTCAGTGTGGCCTAACACTCTTTTGTCTTAGTCTGATTACTTAAATAGTACATTGATGAAGACCTTCGTCTTCAAGCTAATGAGCACAGCTAACTCTTTCCCTTTGTCCCTGTCCATCTCAGAGGAAGCAGGAAAACAGCTAAACATGACTAACTTTGCCCCTCCCATTGAGAAAATTGTCCCCATCCCAGAGGGGTCTTCATTCTTCTGTCTCAGAAAGCACAATGGGTGAGTCCTTTTTGCCCTACACAAAGTGTCAGAATGCCTCAATCCTGTCCTTCAACAATGGAGACAATTTGGTGGGCAAATTCTGGAATCTCTAAGTGTTAAACAAAGTTAATTTGCTTGGAAAGATGGCAGGTGATTACCTTCACGTATTTAAGAGCCTGATGATGTTTTCGCCATGTGATCGCTCGCCAACATAGTATGGACTCTCTTTTTTCTGGTTCAGGTTCCGGAAAGGATGCCACAAGCTCATCCACCACCCCATCTACACAAACCTCATCCTCCTTTTTATTATCCTCAGTAGCATCTCTTTGGCTGCGGAGGACCCCATCAGGGCCCATTCCTTCCGGAACACGGCGAGTCACAAAACCTGCAAAACTTCAATCAGTCATGGTTGCAATGAGGCTTCTTATCCCACAGTGGGCATAATTATACCTGCTCATCACTGCTTAGTTGAACCCAAATTGGTACTAATAAAGTAACTTAGTCATTTAGGATAATTGTTCAATATAATCCAACCTTCATTCAATCCCTAACCTGCCTTTCAAAATATAGACCCTCAGAAATAACTACAACCTGCTTCTCCTATTAGCACTGATGTTCTCCATGTGGTGCTGTGAAGCTCATTTCTCACATACTGTACTGCATGGGAAATTCCTCCATAGGGACACAATGGCTCGTGGGATGTGCATGGGATGTTAAATTCCCTGTTCTTTCCTGGCCAGGTCTTGGGCTATGCGGACTACGCCTTCACGTCAATATTCACCGTGGAGATTATACTGAAGGTATGGAGGACACTTTGCACTGTTGGTAATGTTGAGTAATTTGGAAGGTTTACGTGCCTTTTTTTTGGTCTTGGGGAGAGGCACATACACATTCTGTCATACCCCCCAACTTTGTGACAAGTTTATAGTGTTGCTCTTAACTGACTGGCTGCTCTGGTGAGTCTAATATAACTCTCACGATACATGTATTTTTTTAGCAGATACTAAATACTGTACATGCAAGCAAGGCAGATAATACATTGTGGTGTCTCTGTGCATTATGGGTAATTATTGAACCTCCTCCCCCATTCTTTTCTTTGTCACATTAGATGACTGTCTATGGGGCTTTCCTGCACCAAGGCTCCTTCTGCAGGAACTGGTTCAACCTCCTGGACCTGTTGGTCGTCAGTGTGTCGCTCATGTCCTTTTTTCTCCAGTGAGTGCCCAACATATTGAGAAAAGTGTCTCTTGGGCTTTTTAATGTGACTGGAAGTGTGTTTTAAGATCATGATGGATTTCATGGGCTTTTGATTATGTGCAATTGATGCTAAAGCTCTAAAATATTAAAATGTAACCTGATCCGCCCACATCCTTATTCTCCGTGTTTAAAACAGCCAGCCCAGTTTAAATACAGCCCAGTCTAACAGGCATCACGTTACTGGTGATTTGAGTGACTACGCCTCCCTCGCAGCTCCAGTGCTATCTCCGTGGTTAAGATACTCAGAGTCCTGAGAGTACTGCGGCCGCTCCGGGCCATTAACAGAGCCAAGGGACTTAAGGTGGGCAGAACTGTGTGTGTGTGCGTGTGTGTGTGTGGTCTAGGTATACAATGTGGTATAGGTGCGTTAAAGGGGGAGGGGAGGGGCAGGGTGCGTTAAAGGGGGAGGGGAAATAAGTG